CTAGATGACCCACAGAGGTCCCTTCCAACCCCTACCATTCTGTGATTCTGTGATTCTGTGAAATCATATGCTGATGGAGGCTGCTGGGCTATTCTGGTGTTGGACAGGGGCTCCATCACCAACCAGCAGCAACATCCTTGCTGCAGAAGGACACACTATTCTGACTCACATGAAAACCTCTCCATGGGTTTTGGACCAGTCTTTTACGTCATAACCTGCCAGCTGACATTTGACAAGCAACAAGTTTAGGATTTTTGGGATCAGGACAATCCCCCAAGGAGATGTTGACAGGGCCAGTCTCTTCCCTTCCGAGCATTTGTAGGAACAGGCTGTCATGGAGCGCTCCATTCAGCTACCAGCTTTGCCTGATGTTGATCGACATCTGTCCCTCCCAAGGCCACTGTTCACATGGCAACACACCCACCAGAGGTCACAAACCCCGATTTCTTCCAAAGTAGAAAACCAGAAGTGATGTGAACATGAGAGCAACATGCTGAAACGGCGTTGGCACCCCTCAGCCCAGGACACGTTTAAAGATACAGCCAGGAAAAAGGAGCAGAAATGAAAATCCTCGGAGATTAAAGCTCTTTTGTCTAGAGATTTTCAATTAGATCAGGACACGCTCTGGCTTCTTTTCCTTGCTGCGTTCATAGTGCAGACGAGCTTCATGTCAGCTTGGCCTCTTTTCCTCCTACCACGTTGGCTCCAGCTTCATTTCATTAGCGATGGCCTTGCCTTCATTAGTGAATTAATTCCCCAGGAACTGCACTGCAATAAACCCTACCAGAGCAAGAACCATCAAAGCCACATCTCGGGGCTGGCTGGACAACTGCAAGTATTTTCTGGACAAAAAGGATATTCACAGAAATACTGAAAACCAAACAAATTTGATTCAAACCAGACCCGGAATCTTTGAAGCTTTTTCAACCAAAACAAGGGGGGATGTTTTGTGAGCATTAGATTTGATTGACCAGTGGGTCGGAGATCTAGGAAAATGAGCCCTCATCTCTCTCTTGGGGGACAGGCCCCAAGACAAAAGTGAAATCTATAGAAATGCAGTGAATACTCTGCTCTCCCTTTGTTCTCAGATGTGTCTTGATATGTTAGATGGCCATGGGGGCTTTACCCACCCAGTGCCAGACACCTAAAGAGCAGGTCCTGGGCTGAGCAGGGCCCTCTTGCCTGCAGTGAAGAGGGATGCAGAGGTCTGGCCACATCAAGACGTGGCAGAAGTTCAATCTAGTCTGGGAGTGCTGAGAAAAGGGAAAGGAGGGTGGATAGTGTCCTCAAGATGAGGGCCTGAGGACTATTTAATTATCTCCTGGAGAAAAGGGGCCTCAGCATCTCCCCCCGTGACTTCATCCTCAGCCCAGGGAACTTTGTTTGGCTACAACATGTGGAGCATCCCACCAAGAGGCAGCATTTCTCCCTGGAGGACCCTGCTCCATGTTTCCCCATTAGCTCTGCACAGCCCTTGGGGACAATTTGTCTGCCTCCGACTCCATCCATCACTTCTTGCCCTTCCTCTGGGGATGCAGACAGCACTCTATCAATAACTGATGTTTTGCCTCTTTGCATTATTTTCCAAACCCTCAAAGACACTTTTGTTCCACACCAAACCAAAGCTCCTGCCCATCCCATTTCACTGGGGTATCAATGAGGCTGGGTGGTTGCTGTGCTCCCTCCAGGCTCCATTCTCCTGGCCTTGGCAGCAGCTCCAGGAGGACTTGGGGTGATGCCCACCTCCGTAGGGCAAGGATGGTGCAAAAACCACAAGTGAGGGAGGGCAGGAGGAAAAACTGGCAATTATGGTCAGACTCAAAACCCCACAGACAAAGGAAACAAACCCAAATTGTATGATGATGGCGGTGACTATTCTCATGGATGTTTTAGTCGCAGCTGTTAATAAAAATAATAGGAGTAATAAAATTGCAATAATGTAGCAATTGTTCCAGTGCTGATGATAATAATAAGATTATTTATTAATTGTGAGCCATTATCAACATTTTCTAGTGCTTCTGCCTCCCAGTCCAGTCCCAAACTCCAGCCCTATCATATTAATGCAGAATGAGGTAAAGGAGAAAGGCTTTTTCTCTATGACATAAGCAGGGAAGAAACACGGGAACAGCAAAGTCTGTTTCTGATCCCTCTGCTAATTGACCCCCACTCTGTGCCGTGGGGTTGGGCATTGGGTGGGATCTTGCGTTTCCTTCCTTCTAAGTAGGGTTTGCAGCCTTCAGAGCAGCTGACCCCCATGCGAGCTGCACGGCCAGACCCTGTGGGACGGACAGAGGAGGAACTCAGAGTCATTTTATGGCTTTTGGCAATCTCCACGTGGGGCTGACAGGGGACAGTGGGCACCCAGGAGCACGTCTCCCTGCTGGGTGCTGGAGCTGCCTCTGCCCTCGGCTTGAGGCTTGAAGGAACAAAAGGAACAAAAGCCCCAGCCCCAAATGTTGCTGTTTTCTATGGACTTTTTGGGTTCAGCCATGGTTCCTGTGACCGTGGCGCACACGTGAAGGGGGATGCATGAACAGGTTTTGCTCTCAGCTGCCGGCTGCTTCTGCAGGGCCACGCTTGAACCTCACAGTGTGAAGCGAAGCGAGGAGCGGGGAGAGCCAGGTCCTGATGCTCCAACTGTTGTGTGTGTCAGGCCAGGTGTGTGCAGCCAGGTGGAGCAGAGGGATGTGCAGCCAGGAGGGATGGATGCGGACCACAGCAGAGGGACGGATGTGCAGCGAGGGGGAGGGATGGACGCGCAGTGAGGTGGGGGCATCCGTGTGAGGCAAAGAGGGATGGATGTGCAGTGGAGAGATGGATGTGCATTAACAGTGGGTGGATGTGTATGGAGAAGGGATGGATGGGCAGCGAGGAGGACAGACGTGCAGTGGGGAGGTGGGAGGGATGTGGACTGAAGTGGGGAGGGGGACGAGCAGCCAGCAGCGTGTGGGGAGGTTGCTCTGCTGTGTGCGTTCCACGCTCCGGACCGTGCAAGCTTTTGTGCACGCAGGGACCTGAGGTCTGCACGACCTCTGCAGCTGTCCTGATAGCCATCTGCAACAACACGCCATGTTCTGGAGCTGCGGGGGGCCAGAACTGTCTGGACTTGGCCCCCTGCAGCCGTTCCCCATCCCCTCTGCTTTGGCTGCAAGTGTGAACACTGCGTCCTCTGATCCGACCCTGGCTCATGATGAACAACGGGGTCTCGGTGCTCACTCTCCCCCCTGTGCTCCCCAACCCAGGCGTGAGGGCAGGGGGAGAAGGGGTGGGTGCTTTGGGAGCAGTTCTGTGCCTGGGTGCTGGTTGCAAGCCCTGGCAGGGTGTTTGGGGACCGCAGTGTCACCGCTGCTGCTCAGCAGCTTCGTCTCTCCGGCGATGGCTGTCACACAGCTCTGCAGCGCAGGGAGCACCCGGGATGGCAGCGTGTGCAGCAAAATCTGTAGAAGACCCTAGAAACCCCTGGGAGTGGGGACACAGCTTGCAGAGGTTGCAAAGAGGGAAGGCGAGGGGTGGGGGGGTTGGTGCTGTTATTTCTAGTGTTGCCCCCGCTGAGCCACTCAAGCCCGGTGAGGTGGGTGCCTGGCCCACAGCTCTGGTGCTCTCCCACCACCCCTCGTCCTCCCCGTGCCCCAGCTCTCCCTGTCTGGAGCCTTTCTCAGGGTCTCCTGCCCTCTCTCCTCCACACAAGGAATAAATCACCCTCCAGCTCCAGGCTCGGCTCTCACGGGACCTGGCTGCCTCCGGGATGCCAGGAATCTTTTCCCAGAGCAGAGGGGTTTCATTCAGGAAAGCTGTCGGGGACCAGTGTTTCTGGACCCTCTGGACTTCTGGGGACCAATGTCCACCCCTCTACCCTGCACCCCTTCATGCTCCCACCCTGACACCTTGCCTATGAGATGGGTCTTGAGAAGGGACCTTCAAGCGGGAGGGAAAGTGGGTATGGGTCCTTCGCTGTATTAAAAAGCTGCGAAATGCTCCTTTTTTCCACCACAAGTAAAGGCTGCAGACATGCAGCAGGGAGCTCTGAGCATCAGGATGGATATGCAGGTTGGCCAGCCACCTCCACATGGTCCCCATGGCCAGGTTAACACCGGCATCACTGAAAAAAACAGCAAAGAGTCAGAAAAACGTTCTTTGTTCAATCCCCTCTGGTGGAAAGCAATAACGGGCTGTGAAACTTCTCAGCCTCCAAGGAGAAGGTTTCCTTTGAGGGCCAGGGGGAAAAATCAATCTAGCAGGCTCCACTTACTGCTTGGAGAGCTCTGGAGAGACAAGCCCAGCCCCTGCGTGCTCCCTGGTGGCATCAGGGGAGGGAGCAGAGCCCAGCCGGAGCACAGCTCTCCTCCTGCTCCTCCACCCCTTGGCACTGGCCCATTACGAAAGAGGGTTTTGTCGATCGGCCCAGCACATTAGGAAATGAAACAGGCTGTGCCCAGAAGCTTCCCCAGAGGTCCATTAGCACCAGCAGATCCTTCCTCCAGCCCAGCAGGTCCCAGAGGAAGCTTTTGCTGATGATTTCCTCCCCCGGAGCAGAGGCAATTGTCTTGGACAGGGTGCTGGGATGGCTGGTGCATGGGGGGAGGAAAGGGTGACCTGCTGCTCTGGCTGTAGGGTGCTCAGATGTAAGGTGGGCTGCCAGAGTGACATGAAACCCCCCCTAGATATAAGGGTTGAACACACAGGCACACTCCAGGTTGCTAATGCATTTTCTGGCTTGGCATCAACCTCCAGAGCTCCAGGATTACGTCTGAGGTCTCAGCCCATCCCTGGGGCTGAAGGTGGTGGTGGCAGACATGGTGAGGTTCCTCAAGGCATGCAGAGAAACCAATCTGTTAACACATCTATCAGGACAAGCTGTTACCGATTGCCAAGGAAAGGAGTGAGGAGCATCATACGATCTCAGCACGGGCACTGCCACCCCACGTAGAACAGTCTTAACCCCCAGGCAGCGCATCCCACTTGTGTTTAATTCTTTCCTGCGTTCATTGTCTCTTCCACAGGTATAAGAGCATGGTGACACCCCGGCGGGCAGCAGTGGCCATTGCTTGCTGTTGGATCGTCTCCTTGCTGGTGGGACTCACCCCTATGTTTGGCTGGAACAACCTGAACAAGATGCGGACGGCTCAGGAACTGAATGCCAGCCACACAGAGTTTGTCATCAAGTGCCAGTTTGAGACGGTCATCAGCATGGAGTACATGGTGTACTTCAACTTCTTCGTGTGGGTCCTGCCTCCCCTGTTGCTAATGCTGCTCATCTACCTGGAAGTCTTCAACCTCATCCGCAAGCAACTCAACAAGAAGGTCTCCTCCAGCTCCAACGATCCCCAGAAGTATTATGGGAAGGAGCTGAAGATCGCCAAGTCTTTAGCACTGGTCCTCTTCCTCTTTGCACTCAGCTGGCTCCCTCTGCACATCCTCAACTGCATCACCTTGTTCTGCCCGTCCTGCGAGACGCCGCACATCCTCACCTACATCGCCATCTTCCTCACCCACGGCAACTCAGCCATGAACCCCATCGTCTACGCCTTCAGGATCAAGAAGTTCCGGACAGCCTTCCTGCAGATCTGGAACCAGTACTTCTGCTGCAAAACCAACAAAAACGCCAACACCACCACAGCCGAGCCGGGCGACTAGGAGCTGGGGGAGAGCAGAGAGGAGTCCTCCGTGCCCTGCCTGGTCCCCATCTGGCCGCCGTTCCTGCCGTCAGGGGAAGGGGTGGTGAGGACCCGGGAGGGCTGGGTTCACCAGCCCTGTGCAATCCGAACAGCCGTGTGCCCCAGCTGCCCTGGGGGTTATTTATTCACAAGCATCGTACTGTTTTGATATTGTAGCCTGCACTGTTCCTTTTCTTTTTTTTTTCCCCTGTTTGTTTTTGTTTTTTGTTTTTTTTTAAGGATTGCCAAGTATTTAAGGAGAAATTGTACAGACAAAGGCGCAGTTTATCTTCATGCAAATAAAATAAAATGATAAAAACCACCCAGGAGGTGCTCTGCCGTTGATGGAGACCTCTGGCTCCTTGGAGCGCAGCAGTGGGTGATGCTGGGGGCACCTCACACTCTGGCCCCCACATCCATGGACCCATGGGGGTACCTGGGCAGTGGGGCAAAGGGGTGCCCTGGTGGGAGCGAAGCTGCTGAGAACCGGGAGAGCCTGGGGCAATGTGATTTCTGCAGCTCTGAAGCTGGGAGCTCTCAAGCCCGCCCTTTCCCCTCTGTAACCAGGGAGAGGTGAGCTGGGCTGAAACACGGGAAGAGATGGGAAAAGGCATCCCATGGCGATTCCAGCACCCACGGGGTGCTGAAGCCACCATCCCCACAGAGCAAAGGGTCGGTCTCCAACTCTCAACTCTCAGTGCTACCGGAGAGGTAGGCAGAGAGGAAAGGAAACCCTTAAGCATAACCACAGAGTTCTCTGCAAGAAAGACCCTCTGCTGCCCTGACAGGTCCCCGTGGACCCCAGCAGCACCCACTGCCCCTGTCACTTACACCCAGGGAGCTGTGTCCCCTCTAATTGTTTTCTCTCTCCTTTTACTTTAGCTTTGAGTTATTTTTCCCCCTTTTTCTCATGCCTGTCTTCTGTGAAAGGCAGCATCAAGTCTCCCCCAGCCCTGTTTATCTCATCTCTCCCCTGTCACTCCCTACCACCCCCCCCTGTGCAGCCGAACCCTTTCGACCCAAACTTTGTGGGTTGATGCAGCCACCTCCATGGCCCAGGGGAGCAGAGAGGCACCTGCACCCATCTCGGGGTGAGTGGGGGATGGCTGCAGGCCACCTTGTCAGTGCTGATGCTGCCACAGGGGCATTTTCTCACCCCCATGTGTCTGTCTCTGGTTTAGCCATGGGCAGGGTGTGTTCTTGGTCGCACTTGAGGAGGGGGTGGCTGGAGACGGACCATCACCCCCATCCAGTTCTGTGGTCCCTATGTATGCTGGCAGCTGTGCTGCCAGTCCCTGCTCTGCAGCAGGATCTCTTCCAGGGCTGAAGAGGTGGTGGGAAGAGTTAATTTGAGTTAATTGGGGTTGTTTTCTTATCAGCTTCCCTTGTTCACCAGCCTCCCATTGGAAACACACTTCCGATGACCCTTCCCCTGCCCCATGAGGGTCGAGCCCCTCGGACTTCACCAACGGGCGAAGTGACTGCAGCAAGTTCCCACCGGGGCTGGGAGAGGGTGCAGAGAGGAAAAGGACCTTGGATGGGTGACATTTATGGGTGGCTCGTTAGCTGGCTGCAGAGAGCAATGCTATGCACGTGTAGCACAGGCAATGTGGCTGCGGGGGGTCCCCTGCACCCCAGCCAGTCTGTTTAGCCTGAAGGGAGCTCCTCCATTTCTCTGAGAGGAAAAGGAGGGCGGAAAAGAAGAGAGGAGATGAGGGGCTCAGCCTTCCATATTTTGCAAGAGCCTCAGTATATCATATCCAGGCTCCTGGCTCAGACCACACTGGGAAAAATGGGAGCAGAGCAGAAGAGCAATGGCAAGGACAGTCGCAATTCCTTCCCTTGGACCTCATTGTGATGGAGGAGTTCTGAACGCCCTCCCAGCCTCCTCGAGGGGAAGAACCCAAAATCCTTTATCAGTAGTGCCTGAGGATGCTGCAACCCCAGGCTACTGCAGAGAGGACTCCCCTACCCCGTGCCCATGGTCCCTTTGCACAGCAGTAGCTTGGCCTCAGGATAGGGCTGCTGTTTACCGAGCACGGGTCTGATTTCCATTTGCTGCTTATTCCTGCAAGAGGCTGCTTTCCTGGAACCGGTGCCTTTGCCTGATCCCTGCTAAGGTGCCCAGAAACCCGGTGACTGGGATGCTGATACATTAAAAGGCGTGTGAGCAACTGCTTACAGAAAGAACATCTAGTGGATTTTTCCATTCCATGCTTTCCAGACCTTTCCCGGGGAGAGCTCACTAAAAGTGGAGGCTGTTACATCCCACGCCCCTGTGGGGCTGCAAACACAGTCTGTGTCCTGTATAGCTGCGTTAAGAGTCTGGGAAGGGCACAGTGGGCAGCATGACACAGTCTCGGAGATGCTGCTCCTCCTCTGTACAGGCAAACCCTCTGCTAACACCACCCGCTCCCAGTCCCTGTCCCCCAAGGCTCCCACTGGACAAAGCCACGTGCCAACATGCCAGGGACATCAAGGGGGCCAGGACATCCCCATCAGTGTCCCAGGCCAGGTGTGAGCATGCCAGGGGAAGATCTGTTCTCGACCTGCCAGGTAGACCGCAACCTCCACCCCGGCGGCATCATCACTAACCCCAGCCACCTCAATAAACCAGTCTGACCATCAGATGGGATAAAAACTAACACGACAATGCCCTCTGATGGTGGAAACGATGGCTGGTGCTGAACCCCTAGGAACAGCAATATCCCCATGAGCTTCAGCTTGGACATGGAATCATCAAGGTTGGAAAAGACCTCTAAGATCAAGTCCAACCATCAACCCAACACCACCATGCCTGCAAAACCATGTCACACAGAATCACAGAATATGAGGGGGTGGAAGAGACCTCTGTGGGTCACCCTGTCCGACCCTCTGCCGAAGCAGGGTCACCCAGAGCAGGCTGGGTCAGAGCAGACCTTGTCCAGGCGGGTCTGGAATATCTCCAGAGAAGGAGACTCCACAGCCTCCCTGTGCAGCCTGGGCCAGGGCTCCGTCACCCTCAGAGGGAAGAAGTTCTTCCTCATCTTCAGCTGGAACTTCCTCTGCTTCAGTTTGTGCCCATTGCCCCTTGTCCTGTCACTGGGCACCCCAAAGTGCCACATCTACACATCTTTTGAACACCTCCAGGGATGGTGACTCCACCACTTCCCAGGGCAGCCTGTTCCCACGCCTGGAGAGCTGGTGACAGAGCAGATGGGGGCAAAGCAGAGGGGCTGCAGGACAGACGCTACAGAGAGGGGTCAGCTATTTTAGCCATCAGCACTGCCCGGCTTTGCTCTCCAGTGGCACCATGGGCAGACTGGGCTCAGATCTGCAGGTGCCCAGGCTGGTTTTTCATCCACATTTGCAGTGCCCTGCTGACCCCTGGTTAGCAATGCACTTAGTCAACTTGATGGATCTGTCTGGGCTCTCTGTTAATAAACAGCATCTGACCCGAGCCGTCTCAGAGCCGTGAGTAACATGTCATCTTTCCATACATGAGCTGTCAGTAGATAACGGGGCCGATTCCTCCCGCTCCAGATAGCGCATGGGCATGTCCTGCCCCTGCCGTCTCACACTGTGGGGAGGGGATGCTGGTGGCAGTGCGTGGCTGGATCATTGCATCACTGATGTGGAGAAAGAAATTGTGCTTTGATGAAGAAGCATCAACATGCCATAGTTTTGACGTTGCTATTTCCCCCCACAGCCAGAATAATTCTCCAGCTCCAGAAGGAAACTTTTCTCCATCCTCCTCCTCTTCCTTGTTAGGTTGCTTCTGGTTTAGTCATCTTCATATATTCTTTATAAAGCTGGGCCTTTCTTTCCAAGCTCAAAAACCATCTCTTCCACTCATGGTTCGGTGGGATGTTATGCGAACCTGTAGCATCCCTGGCAGCTCTCTCCCCACTACCTCCCCTTGCTCAAGCCAACCCCACAACAAGCAGAACATAGCAGGTTTTTCTATGAGGACCAAAGATGGGCTGGTTTTATTGTCACACCTAAGGACACATTCAGAGAGGACCATGCCATGGCAGGCTGAGGTGCAGGTTCCCAGGGGTACCACCAGGGAGGGGACAGACCCAGAGGCAGCAGCGGTCACGGCCGGGAGCATCACCATGTGCCATGGTACTGAACAGTAGCTGCAGCATCCACCTGGGTGAAGGAATGAGACCCAAGTCCTGCGAGAGCACTGCTGCCGAGAGACCAGTGGTCAGGGATGAGATGGGAAACCACATCCCAGCCATGGCTTTAATGCAAGACAAACCCAGCCCAGCTCTTCCACCCTCTCCTGCCCCACAAAATTCAGATGCAACCTTTTAGCTCTGTTTTTCCACCCCCGGCCCTATTTCATACTCCTTTATACCTGGCCCCAGTCCCAGCACCTGCTCCCCATGTGCATCCAACTCAGTGCCCCACACCTCTGAGCCCTGCCTGCAAACTGGGGCTCTGCCCACTGGCTGCCCACATGTCTGCCAGGCACACCAGTCTCCCCGCTGCATCTTCCCCCTTCTGCCCATACTTACAGTCCTCTCTCCACCTCGCAAAGGGGCAGTTTTCTCTCAGGCTCTGCAGCATCCCACCCCACCAGTGCACATCCAACCGTGGGATGAGGTAGCCCTGAGCTGGGGCTTCATCAGCAGGTGACAAGCGCTTATGCAGGACACTCCATCCACACCATCCCTGATGAAGTGATCCACCCTCCCTCCATCCCACAGCCCCGACCCAGACCTACCTTGCTCTTCGTCTTGCCCTCCAAACTGTCCTCACTGGGGCACTGCAGGAGAGCACGGGAGATATAAACTCCATGAATTCCCCTTGCTTCACTCCCCTTTTCACTTCCAAAAGCAAGCCAGGGCATGACCAACCCGCTTGCACGCACACACCAATGTGCACCTACGCACACCATCCCTGTGCACCCACGCTCCAAGCAGTCATGCACACCACCATCACTGCCTGCTCCTGGCCAGCTTGTCCCCACGGTCCCAGCCTGGGTGACTCCCGGGCGCTTTGTGTCCCCAGCACAACGACAAGCTCAGTCTCCTGGCTGACTTCACCGTGCTGCTCGCATGGCTGCACCAACAGTCCTGCCTGCAGGGCAGCATGGCTGGGGCCAGCTGGGTCAGCGCTCTGGAAGCCCTGGCACCAGCTACCGCAAAGCCAAGCATGGACCCTGTGCCACACTGGCAGCCCCGTTGCTTCAGCAGGGACCGAGAGTTCTGGGTGCCTGCCGGATCGGAGCCCTGCCTGCATGGGAAGTAGGGCAGAGCATGTCTCGGGGCAAGCGTGTGCTGGGAAGCCACAGGAGGAGAAATAATAAAAAGGACAGGTGTCTAAGGACACACCGCTACTTGAGGAACATGCGTGTAGCGTGGGTGGGTGGGCATGCACCCCCCTGCATGCCGAGGCAGGTCTGCAGCACACAGGAGAGGGGTCTGCGAGGGGAGAAGAGCAGGGCATCTCCATACAGGGTTGGGTTGGGTGCTCTGCTGAGGCAGGGAAATGTGAGCCAGAGAGTCCGTGCAGGATCCCAAAACATAAATCAGAACAACCCAGATGCAAGAGGAGGGGTTTCGGCAAGCCCCCCCCACATGGCTTGGGGATGGCTTGGGACACAAGTGCTGGCGGATGAAGTGAGGAGCAAGAGACTGTCCCAGCCTCCAACAGCACCTCTGGTCCTTTGGCTCTGCAGTTTCTGGCTTCGTCCCCACTTTTTAGCCAAAAATGAGGGAAGGAGATTTCAAGATGCTTGAAGGCCATAAACCCAAGAAGCCTGAAGCTCCAGCTCCACAGGGCTGCCCAGTGTCCTTAGGCTCCCCTGTCACCATAACAGGGACAAACCACAGCACAGTGAAAATGAGAACAGGAGAAGGCAGGCAAAGAGACCTGCTCCTCTATCTCCTCAGCCAATCTTACCTTTCACATCAAGTTTGCAGTCTACTGAGGCTTCCCCCAAGGCGTTCACAGCTTTGCAGGTGTAGATGCCCCCATCAAAAGGGCTGGGTTTGCGGATTTCTAGGGAGCAGACACCCTGCTTGATCATCGCAATGTATTTGGGGTCTTCCCGTATCTCCATCTGATTTTTCATCCAGATGATTTTGGGCTGGAAGGCAGCAGGATTTATTTATTTGTTTAAAGCAGGGAGAGGAACGAGAACTGGCCCCAAAATGCAGCCACCTCCCTCTGGCTTTGCCTTGGCTCTGCCTGAACCTGGTGCTCATGGTGAAATTCACAGTCAGAAGTAGTTTGAAGAGCTAAATCTCCCATTCTTGAGCCCTAACCACTGCCCCAGTCTTCCTCCCCCAATGCAGAAGGAAAAAGGACATGGCTTGAATTAAGACCAGCCTCCATTTTCCATGCAGAAACACCCTAAACTTGCCCCAGTTTGACTTGAAGAACAGCTGCAGCCCCCTAACATCATCCAACCCTAACCCATCATGACCAACTATTTCCCAAAACCTCCAGCCACCTTGCAGAAACCCCACTGGTGCCTGCCCACACACGGAGGCTATGCTGTCCATGGAGGAACCACTCACCTGGGGGAAGCCCCGGACACAGCAGAAGAGATGTGTGCTGTAGCCCCGGGTGGTGATTCGGTCTGTCAAGGGCTGGGTGAACTTTGGAGGCTCCATCATGTCCCGTTGAGGGATCTTCTCTGGCTGGTAAGCAGTTTCTAAGAAAATAATTAATTCTAGGTTGAGGCAGAGCTAGGGTTCCTGGGCTATCCAGCATACAAACTCAGCCCAAGGTATTCCAAAATACTTCTCCTCCCTCACAAAATAAGCCAGATGGCATCTAGCCTGACCCAAGGACCTGGCCATCAGCTCAGACCAGCCCTGTCTATAAATCTCTTCTCATCCAACCATGCCATGTTAGTGCCCAGTCCCTGCAAGGGACACGGGAGATGCCAGTCTGCAAACCAACACCATGATGCATGCTATGTGCAGCATGTCAGATCAGGGCCAGGCACCCCTATGGATCTCCTACTCCATCCCCAAAATTCAGTGCAGAGAAATAGGAGCTGGAGGTAAGCTCTGCAGGTCAAATAGACCCCAACTCACTGTGTGCTACCAGGGAGCAGGATGGCAACAGATGGAGGGAGAGTGGGGCTGAGAATGCTGGTTTGGAGATTTGGCCCTGAGATGGACCACTGCAGGGGTCTCTTCTTCTGCTGGCCCTGAGCTGTGGGGCCAAAGCCAGGGCTGTTCCTCACCCATCCTGGCACCTGCTTCCATCTCACCCCAAGGATGACCGTGCCTTGATCCCTCCCAGCGGGCTGCCCATGGCACAAGCCTTACCCAAAGGAGAAAGGAGGTGTAGAAGGAAGGCAGGGGACCTCTGGACCTCTGCCTTGAGGATGCACAGCCTCACCCCTGCAGGGCTCAGCCTAGGGACCAGCCCAGCAGCATCACCACAGCACCGAGGAAGCCCTACTAGCCCCCACATAAATAGGACCCCTCCTGCCCACCACCACCCCAAACCGCATAGCCAGGGCCTTGACCCCACTTGACTTCTCGATGTGGGCCACCCCAGAGGTGACAGCTGCTTTCTCGCTCAGCCCGCAGGCGTTTTCTGCGAACACGCGGAAGGAGTAGATGTTGCCAATGATGAGGTCGGAGATGGTGCAGCTGGTGCGGGTGCAGCGCTCCAGTGCCATGAACCATTTCTGGGTGGAAAAATTAAAAGGAGAGCAGTGAGGAAACCAGGGTGTCCAAAGGATGGAGAAGGAGTAGGGGGAGACAAGGGTGTGCAGCTCCCCCTCTCCCATGAGTGCATCCCCAGCACCAGGGCACGGGGGCCCAGGAGTGCCCAGACTCACCCCACTCTTTTTGTCTGACTTCTGGACCAAGTAGCCCTTGATCTCCGAGTTGCCGTTGTCCGCCGGTGGGGTCCACTCCAGGGCCACATTAAAGCCCCACACATCCACCAGCTTCAGTTTCTGGGGGGGGCCCGGGGGCTCTGCAAACACAAACCCGCACAGAGAGGCATCTTAATTTGCTCCCCCCATTTTCTGTGCCTTGACCATCCCTTGCACCTCGCTTTTAATCTCTTCTCACCCTGTTGCAGCACACGATGGATAAGAAGTTGTGATGGGCATGGGCTGGGAGAAAGCCTGCATCCCCAACCAGAGTAGTTCACCTCCATGATGCTGGAGAAGATCCCACTGGAAGAGGAACCCCAGAGTCCCTTGCCTTGTTGCTGGCCCTGTCCCATCCCACCCAGAACAAGAGCTACTCCCAACCAAGGGGCAGAAACGAGCCCCAAAACGACCCTGCAGGGTCCAGTCTCCAGCCTTACCAATCACTTGGATGTCCAGAGTAGCCTTGTCCTCTGCTCCGTTTATCCGCACAGTGAGCTCGTACTTGCCCGAATCAGTGCGCTGTGCCTCGCGGATGTAGAAGATGGTGTCCTTGTCCGTGTTGCGGATATTGATGTGGCTGGTGTCCAGGGGCTGGCCACCCTTGGTCCAGATCACCTCGGGCTGTGGCTTTCCCTGGAGCAACCCGCACAGGCACATTAGGAGCCACTCAAGCACATGGTCCCAACCGGTCCTGCTGGGAAGGACGGGTGGGCAGAGCCATCCCACTTTGTCCAGGCAGCAGTGGCCTGGATACCACCTCTCGCTTCCAGCAGTCCCCAGGGAATAAACAGCCAGTTCCTGGCAGCCCCACTGATGGAAGCCATCAGGCTCCAGGGATGATGCTGGAACATGCTGGTCCCCCAAAGCCCTCATGGGGCAAGCCCAGCTTTCCTTGCCCATGGCTTTGCAGGCAGAGCTGTGCTCCTGTTGCCCAGGCACTGAGCCCAGGTTCAAGTCTAGCAGCAGAAGCTGAATTCAGCATCCAGGGCCGAGTCATACCTGGAGCACGACCAGCGCAGGCTCCAATCACCTATGAGACATGGCATGGACATGTCCCTCATTGCAGGGGCAGATTTCTGCCTCTTGCTTCCCCCAGTGTGTTTCAGGGCTGTTTTTTTTCCATCCCAGATGCCACGCTGGAGATATTTTGGGGATGCCCCAGACAGTATGTGATAGATCAGCCAAGGAGAGGAACTCCAGCTTGGCCCACCAGTGCCAGCATCACCTCCCCCATCATACAGCCCTGGGGCTGCTCTGCTCTCTAAAGGCAGCTGCTCTCCCCAAGGAGAACCCCCTGTTGTGCTGTGGGGTTCTGTGGTATGTGGCCAGATCCTTGCCAGGCTCAGCCAGGAGCATGAGCTGAACAAGGCTCATGGGTTGAGACAGCAGCAATAGCTAGCCCATGCCCTAGTGTGTTTGGGGTTGTCCCATTACCAGCACCATCAATAAAGACATAGCAGGAGAAAAATGGGGACCAGGCAGGAATGGGAGAGGGGTTCCTGCCCCATCTCCCACCCTCAGGCCATGAGATGTGGGGACCAGGACAAGTTAGGCCGTGGATGGCCCCAAGCATGTCATGGTGGCTAGAAAAGTCACTTCAGAAGCTAACCTGCAGTGAAAAAGCCTGGGGGATTAAATCCCAAATCGCCCACCTACCTGGAAAGGGATCATCACGTTAATGGCATCCCCAACACGCCTGACATAAGTCTGCCGCAGGTGACGAGGCATGCGGATCCTCGGGAGCTCTGGGAACCAGAAAGTCATGTCATGGGGCCAAGGAAATCACAGCCCCCAACTGGCTGATCCACCCCACGCAACCCTCTGCTTGGCCATCAGGATATCCCACCCAGAAATATGGCCACCTCTTCCCTCTCGTCTCCTAGACAGTGCTTGCTTCGTGCAGGGCCATGCCAGCCTACGCATTGCCTGCACCCCGAAATTATATCCATCCTTGAGATACCAGGTCACCAGCCCAACAGCACCTCCCTGATGGACCATTCACCCCCGGCATTATAGCCAGGCCACAGGGACCAACACGGGCTTAACCTGAAGAGTCACAACACAGCCTACATGGTAGCCAGGCAGAGGAAAGCATCTCCCAGTTCGGAAGCACTTCTCCCCCAGCTCAAAGCAGACTTTCTAGAGTTACACAACCCAACCTTGAGCAGAGACAAGGCTCGCCAGACCTCCACCTTCGCTGTGCGCTCAAGGCCATTGAGAGACCAAGGTGGTGCATGGTTACTCACAGCAGAGCCGTGAAAGCCCCAGGCTTAAAACGAAGGCTATCGTCCCCAAGGGAACATAACAAAGATAAGCAAAAAACCCACTGGAGCATGCTGATGGAGCGTGTGTCTCCTTCCCGGGGTGAAAATAGCAGCTGTGTAACCCTACCGGCTCGGTGCCACTCAGTGATCCTTCTAGAGAGGCATTGGGTTTGCGTGAGCCCCTCATAAGAGTTGTGTGTCTCTGCCTGGATTAAACATGCTGGAGCTTAGGTCTGGGGAGGGGGCACGGCCAGAATTAAACCGGGACTGAGCGATGGCTAAACAGCTGTGAGCGTGAAACGCCGGTGGTGGGCTGGGGAGGGCAGGGAGATGCCCGGCGGTCCCAGATGGCCCGACCAACAGCTGAGACAGTCTCTCCTCTGCTCTTGCTGCCATTCACTCCTGGGATCCGTGCATCGATGCTGCCACTTGGGCTCATCAGTCTCAGCGCAGCAAAGAAACCCGACCTCGACGGAGGAATGTTAATTCACGGGTGTTTTCCCCAGCTCACGCCTTCTTTGCTCAGCCGGAGAAGGCTGGCTGAGGGTGGAGGATGGAGCATCCCACCATGGAGGTGACATGCTGCCATGGGTGGGAAGGCATTTTTCCTGCCCCAGCTCCCTGCAAAACGCAACTCCCACACCGAATCTTCATCTGGTTTCTCCTCGTCTCTCTCCACTTCCCAAACCCACTCGTCCCACCTGTTTTTAAACTCTGTGCCGTCTGTACTGCTGCTATTTAAAATCCCTTGTGGTGCTATAAATGAACTGGTGAGAGGTACAAAATGCAGTCCCGAATAAAATGTGAAGACCAGAAGGTAACAGATGGGGCAGGGAGGAGTGGATTCGTGAACCCGACACACACCAGTGCTGCTGGGGTGGACACAGGGACGCAGGTGGACACTGAGGGCTGGTTTGTTTCTCAGCAAAGCCAGGCAGTGTGCACAGGGCTGTATTTCAAATGAAATGCAAAAGTAGGCAAGTGCTCTGTGCTGAGGAAGAGTTTCAGTGAGCAAAACAAAAAGAAAGAAGTGAAAAACCCCACTAGCATGGAGCAAGAGCAAGTTGTGCATGGGTCTATCAGTTCGTTGGGTTTTACACCTCTCAGCTGATGGCTGGGACAAAGCTCAGGCAGCGGGGACAGGAGGGTTGCACTGGTGGGTGCAACACAGGACTAGAAGTGGGAAGAACAAGCTGTGTATTTGGCAACTCACACCAGTCCCCCATGCCACAGTTTCCCCAGTCCCACAAGGTATGGTGGGATGCCTTTGAGATCTGGAGGTGAATTCGGCAGCAGACACCAACCACTAAGCCATGTTCACCTCCTCCGAGCAGACTGAGAGGATGAACTCAGCAGGACCCTTTCCAGATGCTGATAGCCTTCTCCAAGCCTTTTCCTATGAAAAGCTGCTGGTTCCTGGAACAACTTTTGTTATTATTTTTAAGCAGCTGAGACATCTGATGTGTTCTTTGAGTAACAGCAAAACTTGCACATTAACAATGCCTTGTAAAGGGAAAATGTCTGTATTTGCTGTTTGATAAGTGAAAACCAACCTTGCAATCATATACCAACCTCAGCATATTCACAGCACCCCAGGAGGAATGTGAGTCTTGCTAAGCATGGGAGCAAGCCATTCATTAGCAAGTTTGGCATGATTAAAGTTCCCATGCTCCAGACTACAAGCTCTTGACTTTCCTTAGCTAAATAAACAAAGCCATCCAATGTGTATGTGATGGCATATCAGAGATGTAAGCATGGCCACGGAGATGAGGTGGGACAAAAGTGAGACTGCTTCTGAGCTCTTGCAGTGAAATGGGAAAACGTGGCTCTGCATTTGGAGTCCTTCACCCTCAAAGCTTCACCACCTGTGTGGTGGAGGTCTGGAGGTCGGGAAGCTACTCCATTCCACCCCAAGGGGATTGGACACAGTTATTGAGAATAACATCTTGGTCAAAGGCTAGACTGCCGTGTGTGAGAGGGCTGAGGCTGCTCAGGCTGCGAGGGTGGACTGTGGGTTCTTTGTACCGCTGACAAAGCTCAGGGGAATTACGCACGGCAGGAGCAGTACTTACGGAGGATCTCTCTGATGAGGACTGGCTGTTCCAAAGTAGCCGGGACACTGGCACCACTGGCGCTGACAGCCTTCACTCGTACATTGATCTTGTCACCGGAGCCGAGGTCCTGGATTGCGTACCGAGTGGAAAGAAAAGGCTCCTTGTTCACAGCTGTCCAGTCTGTACCTACAACGAACCCCAAAGAGCACATCAGGCATGCAATGGACAGACACCCCCAAACAGCAGGACTAAGCCACATGGAATGCAACCCAGAAGCAAAGAACCCCTTCCTTGCAAAAATGGAAGGATTTGGGGCACCAGCAGAAAAAGGTGTCTTATAGGGGAGGTTGGCCAGCCCACCCTGCCAAGGAGCATGGGATATAAAATGATGGCAGAAGCTCAGCTGTTGAGTAGGAGGCTATTTGCAAATAAGAAAAGGCATTAGGCCAGCAAACATGGTCCCTGTTTACCTTCCAGGTGCATTTCTGGAAGTAGTTTAGATCTTCTGACCACTCTGCCAGCCAGTCTACTCCTCCTTCTGCCCCAGGAGAACATGTTGGGGCTCACCATGCACCCCAGCGCATTCTCCACATCAGGTAAGCTCTGCTCATCACCTGCCACCAGCCAGCTCTACCTCTCCAACTGCTCTTCTTGCTTGGAAGGGGGCATCTCAAACTCACCCTGCAGCCAAGATGTAGAAACCCTGCCACATCACCCAGCTGACACAGCCTTACAACGTGCTGAGCCTCTTCAGAAGTTTCCCAGTTAGAAAAAAGACTGCCCCAGTCACCAAAGGACTGGGTGTCCCAGGCAATTAACTAGAGCAACCTACGTGTGCAAAGATTTGCTAAGCCACCACGTGCACCTTCAAATCAAGAAGGTTTTCCTGTCAAACGCTATCAGATCAGCCGGCTCTTCTTTCCCTTTACTGCTGACATTACTCAAATCAGCCCTCACTCAAATCTCATCGCATTTTAGCCAACCAGAGTCTCGCACCAGCCCAAATACAGCAGTCACAGAGCCCACATGGTTTTCATTTAATGACTAAAGCTCTCCTGTCACCCAGCCAAGTCCAAAGCAAGCTAGGAGAGCATCCAAAACTGTGACCTTTGGGTGGCTGTCAGCCAGCACCCTCCAGGAATGGCTGCATCTTGCCTTGTCCCACACAAGGGCCTCCTCACACATCTCATCCAGCCATGGTTACCTCCCCGATCCCCAAGCCCAATGATGAAAGCTTCCCACAGCCAAGCAGGCGCTGGTCGTGCCTGCCCCAAGCTAAACAGCCAAGGGTCATAGATCATGTTTCCCAAGGCCCACGGACCACCTGGGTCTCCCAAACCACTCCAGCCTCATGTAGCCCCCAGTCCACCAGTCCCAGCCTTCCCTCGCAGATCCCTCCAGCCACACAGGTCACTCACTCTCACCCTAAAGCCAAGCAGGGCTTCAAGAGAGCATCCAAAACACAAGTCTCATCTGCCTACTCCATTCCACCAACCAGCAATGCAACCAGAGAACCACAGGTAACGGTTCCCACCCACCAGCCCACCTCCATTCACTGCAGCCATCCTCCTTCCAGGCATCTCGAGCCCCATCTCACTTGCACTGCCCAGGATCATCTCCTCTCTCATCCTCTCATCTTATCCCCATTCCTTCTGCATTCCATTTTGGGCAAACATGGGAGAATTGCATCTTCTCCCTCCTGAGGTCTTGCATCATCATCCCAACCCCAGGTCTCTGCAGAGCTGGAGTTCATCAGAGACCATCCTCAGTGGGTATGTTGGTCTCTTCTCCACCCTCTAGCTGGACATGGTAGTGACATGAAACTTGGTCCAGCCCCCCGCTAAAGACAGCACTACTATCTGAAGCCAATGGGAAGCCCCTCTGCTCCATGGCGGGGGGGAAGAAAGACCATTTAAAATGAACCCATTTGGGCACAGAGAGGGAAATGGTGCCTGGGGAAAAGTGCTGCCAGGTTCTGCCCAGCTCCATCCTACTCCTCTGCAGCAACACACTAGCTCTCCACACTTATGAGGCAGGAAAGCCCAAGCCTACTTCCATCTTTGCAGATCTCCACCACGTATCCATCCAGGCCCGACTGGCCTGTCTGTTCCGGGGCTTTCCAGGTCAGCGTAATCGAGTTTTCGCTCACTTCTTCCACGGCCAAAGACAAGGGGGGACTGGGCAGCTCTGTAACAAACACGCAGATGTGAGGACATGTTCTTGAGCACTGGAGCTGTTGGAGGGCAATCACCCAACCTCTGTGCTGGTCTTCACACCCCCACCCCCTCCCCCATCCTCCTAATCCCTCAACCCTATCCCACTGCAAAAATATCCATGATGACTTCATCACTTCATCCCTTCACCCCAGCACCCCCACATGCCCCCTCCCAGGCTTGTATATCTCCCCTCCCCACTTCAGTGTCCAGTCCCGTTCTCACCTGCCTTTTTTTTCTCAGGCTTAGGTTCAGAGGCTTGGGGTTCAGCTGGGGGAGCCGGGAGACCTTCTTCAGGGGCTGGAGCCACTTCTACTGTGGGGACAGGAGCAGGCTCATCTGCGGGGACTGTGGGCTGCTCCGTGGCAGGGGGATGTGGGGGGGCAGGGGGCTCTTCCGCCAGCTGGGGCTGGTGGTGGTCCTTCCTGTGGGTTTCGCACTGGCTCTTTCTCCGGAGCTGCAGGAGCCAGGTCTGTGGCTGGAGGTCCAGTTTTTCCCGTCATTCCTGCAAAGCCTGGGGGCAGGAGAAGAGGATGTTTAGGGGTCTTTGCTCTGGGATCTCCACTCTGTTTTGGGGTCCGTGCTCCAGACCAAGGGTCTTTCCTCCAGATCTGGGATCTTGACTCGAAGCTGGGGTCCCGGCTCCGGACCAGGCGTCTCCACTCTGGACAGACAGCCTCTGCTCTGGGACGGCTGTGCTGGGAGGGGGGAATCAGGTCTCTGAGCCAGAACAGGGGCTGGGAGATTTTTATAGGCTTCGGCTGGCACTTGTCACCTCCCTGCAAACCAATCTGCCTGCGCAGGCGGGGGCCGCCAG